ATAAAAAAAACTGCCCTCATCTCTGCCGATAAATTAAAAACAGCGTTAAATTCAACTCGCGAATAAACTAAAAGCAATAAACGAATAACATTTTTAGCATGAAAAGCGGGTAGAACGAAAAAGTTGACTATTTAACGTCCGATTAAGTTGAAATAAAAAAATGAAAATAAAAAACGGAGTCAGTCCGCTTCGGTCTGCGAACACGTAAGCTTGTCCGGGAGATTTGCCGCAGGGTACCGTAGCGGAATAATGTGTTCTTTATTTAAATGCAAATGAAAATTATTTTGGTTTTAAAATTAATGTGAATAAAAAAATTATGGGAAGCCTGTTCTTTATTATACGGTAATGAAGTGTATAAAAATTGTATTCAATTTTTTTATAGAGTTGGTAAATGCATCCTTTATTTTTCTTGATCATACGCAACTTCAATGAACGTACAAATAAAACTTTAAGTTAGAAAAGCGACCTGTAAACTGGCTGACTTTATTCTGGTAGTAGATAAGATTAATAGTCGAAGACTTCGAGGTCTACCGATCCCAAGATCATGTAAAGTATGATGATCTTTGTTTTCCGTACTTTTACTTTAACGTTGGATTATCGATCTAAATTGTTTACTAAATATCTTCACTTAAGTATTTGAATATTACAATAGACTTTTTAAATTTTATCTTAAAATTTAAATAACGAAAATATACGTACGGGACCACATTACGGTATTCTATCATTTTTCTTTCATTCTCGTAGGACATAAATGGGGCGTGCAAAAATTACACGTTAAAATTCTAAATGTTCTTAAAATGTCGGGTTCTGCATACGAATAACTTATTTTTAACGCTAACTCTTTTTTTTTTGTATGTGACTGTGATTTAAGGGAATTCCGGTATACTTGTATGGAGAAAGTTTTTTTTAGTTTATTGAAGAAGGCTAGTGTTTTTACTGCATATGAATATGGTTTTTTAATTGAATAGGGTGGCAAACGAGTACTCTGATCGATTGGGTGTAAGCCATCGGCGCCGCCAATGGACACCTACAACTCGGGAAAAAAATCTAGTATATCATTGTTACGACCGTTGATTAATTTTATATTGACTGCGCAATCGGCGCGGTGGCTGGGCAACTGGCTGCCGTGCAACGTGTCGCGGGTTCGATTCCCGCACGGGACAACAGTTTGTGTGATCCACATATTGTTGTTTCGGGTCTGGGTGTGATGTGCATGTGAAATTGTATGTTTGTTTGTAAATGCGACCACGACACAGGAGAAAAGCCTAGTGTGGGCAACGTTTTTTAAAAAAGAAAAGAAAATCATTGCTAACTGCATCGTCACTCATAAAGTAACTCTATTTTTTCTACGTACATGTATAGGTGTATAGATAGGACTAAGTTTTATGTAAAAAAAATCGAGTCTTTATGAGGTTAGACCAATAAACAAACTCAAATACAGAAGAAAGGCAATCTTATTTAAAAATCTGATACAAGTACCACAACCTAAAGTTTTATTTAACTCGAAAGTGTTGTGTATAAAGCAGTTTTATACCTTAAAGCGAAAACATAGCTATAAACGTGTCTCTGAGATGCGCTCACTCATCAGCGATGAAAGCGATACATTGTACAGTCAACGTGAAAATAGATAGGCGAGCACTGTTCAGTCTTTTTTTATTGGTTAAGTGCTTGTAGTATTATTTTAGTTGTAATGTGGTTAATTAAACGGAATTAAGTTGAATGTAAAATACTGTCACTGGTTTACTTGCGTTAATATCAACACCGAACTTTTTTAAATACACTTAGTGCTGATTTTTCAATAATAAGATAAGTGTTGTGTGAGGAATAAAATCGTTGGTGTCCCTGTCTTATACAAACATTTATCTAACCATGGAAAAATCAGCCCTTAATGCAATTAAAACAGTTAACGGACAGTAAATTAAAACTTTTTGATTACGCTAATATTAGTTCTTTGGGAGATGCCTATATTAAGCTTGCTCTGAGGTCCTTCATTCCGAACGGAGGACCTGTGCAGTCTATGTTCAGCACTGATTAGGGTAATATAATGGTAATTATGATTCCGTTATTAGTATTATTTTAGTTTTATTGACTCAATGTTGAAGCGTTTCAGCCTGTCCACTACAATTTGCATTTCAGGAATAATGCTATGTAAAATTTAAAATAAAATAGACAATAAATTATTATTTATGTATGCAATTATTGTGTATGACGATATGTGTATGTATCTACATAGTATTTTTTTACTTTACAATTGGTAATCATAGTCACTTCGTATTGTAATAAACAAAAAAAAAAAAATTAATATCAAATATTTTTCGCAGATTTACCACTTGACCCAAAGGTTGACTGGTAGAGAATGCCATATGGCATTAAGTTCGCCATTTCTACCTACTCCATTTCATTGTGTACAATAAAGCATAAATAAATAACAAATAAGTTTTAGTGCTCATAAATAAATATACAAAAAATGTGTGACAATATTTTAACCGCGACTGTACCGAGAACGAGCCATTTCCCCTTAAACCGCTGTGGCGCAAAGTACCTCTTGCTGTTAGCACTAGATTGTCTCAGCGACTCAGGTCTTTGTGAGGCAATCGGATGCATCGCGGAGACTAGAGACCACCAACTTTTTGATATTTAGTTTTTTTTTGTACTATGGTATATACCTTCCATTTTGTCGTTACAAGAGACATTATAGACGTCATGGTGTCTATAAATTATTGTTCTAAATCTAAGTTTACTATGGAATATTAGTGTGATATAAATGCACACATGACATAGTAGCAAACTTGAGAGACAATGTATTTTTTTATTCTATGGCCTATCGATCAGTCCGGTCATCAGATATGGTAAGCAATCAGCGTTTGCCCAAGGACATTCTCAACGCTAGAGTACGTTAGAATACGTAACCGAACTTTTAGGGATTAGGAAAATGGGGATTGGGTATAAAACACTAGTAATTTTAAGTTTACATATTTAACCTGTTTTATTTTCGGATATTAACTTATTAGCTAATAATATCATAAGGTTTAAGGCACATTCCCTCAACATTATTATCAACTAAAGTCTACAAGAATAGTTTATTTAGTTATTTGGCCGGTAACCACACAAGCGCATTGCGTTTACCCACCGCTACACTACACATAAAACAATAAAAGTCAGCCGGTATGCCATGCGTAACCGAACCAAGCGAACCTAACATTTCTATAGTTTCTGGCAAGTTATCATTGTTGGGCCATTACTTTAGCGTTCAATTTAAAAAAATAATAAAAAATAGGTCGTGTGACAATGGGGAAAAGTTTGAATAACGTTGATCTACCTTCTAGTGACTTAAATGAGACCTAAGGGACTTAACATTTGCGCAAGTCTGGGGATGCGGATCAGACCAGAATCAGAACAGAACGCGCGCCTCAACTAGCCATTAGACCATCATAAATAGATCTCACTAGAGCCGATATCCAGCCAAGGTTTAGGATAGCCACCAGATGCCTAGCTGGTGGCTATCATCACGCCTGGTGATAAGCAATGATGCGACCTACCATAGAACACGTCTACAATACCGCCAACGTATCTTGGCAAGTCTGAAGTTAGCCGATTAGCTGCACAGTACACAATTTTGTTCCTAAAAGATCCATTGCGCAGACAAACGGCTAACTTCAGACTCGCCAAGATACGTCGGCCGTACTGCACCCTTAAGCAACCTATTCACTCGTGCCTTGAGGTTATTCAGGACCTTTTTGGGAACACAGATTCCGGCAAAGAATTCTGTTATTATAACTGAAGGCGAACCACTTCGTGCGTGCGGGTGGGACGCGAATGCGCTCTCTGAAGCGATGACGTTTTGTCGGTTGTCTGGTGGTAGTAGTACTAACTAGGGTGCAAACGCAGTACTGATTACATTGCGCACAGCTCTGGTAGTTTGAAGGAACGGGCTGTAATCATGATTATTTAAAAATAAATACTACTGTTATATGGTTGGTCGTGGTGGCCTGCAGATTAAGAAGCATGCTTCTCATGCATGAGGGTGTGGGTTCGAAACCTGGCAAGTACCAATGTGACATTTTCCGAGTTATACTTTCTATGATTATTTAGGCACCACTGACATACGGTGAAGGTAAACATCGTGAGGAAACCTGGTCTTCTAATTTCTAATTATAAATTTGGAATCGCCAACCCGCATTGAGCAAGCGTGGTGATTAATGCTCAAACCTTCTCCATGTGAGAAGAGGCCTTTGCTCAGCAGTGGGCACTTATGGGCTGATGATGATGATGATGATGATGATGATGATGATGATGACTACTACTTAAAGAAAGTATTGACTACCTATTTCATTTCAATGTTGATAATCTTATCCAAGCAAAGATTAGTGAAAAAGAGGTGGCAAATAATAACTCACCGTCACCACATAGCTTGATGTGTGTTCTTCCTCTAACATATTCCTCACTCCTCACTTCGCCGATAGCCCCGCTAACTCTAAGCCCCCAAACAAAAAGGGTTGGTGCCAGTTCGAAACACAAGACGCGATATATTGAAATAGCTAGCATTGCAATATGGAGCCACTCTTCGTTACACACGCCTTTGTGTAAACGCTACGATTTCAGGATACCGCTTTGACGGTGCAAAAACAATTCTTAACACTCGAATATGTGTATTCAATGCAATGTCTGTCTGTCTGTTAAACTATACCATAACAGTTCGTTTTAAATGTCGTTTTGGATCTATTCCGTTGTGGGCAGTTTTAAAGGATTTAGTAATTATATATAGTGGAATTTATTTATTAAAGTATTCAAAGAGGTCATTCGACTAGTTTCAAGGGATAACAGGGCCCTTAATTATATGTAGCAATCGAGTAACCTTGTTTAAATTTTACGTAAGTTATATTAGTCGTTCTTATTGCCTCATAAATGTAATGATTTTGTTACACAGTAGTTAATAAAAAAATAAATATTCTTCTTATAACAAATGTCTATTAACGTTTTTTTATTTTAATTTGTTTCAGCCTGAAAGATTGAACGTGTTCAAAAATGACCAAGACAGTTGGGATTACACACGTAAGTTTTATTTTTTAATACGTTAAATTATTTAGACGCAGTCCTGAAAGAATGTCAATATTTGATCTTTAGTTTTGTTATAAAATCTTAATCTGTGTGATATTATTCGTACGACGATCGCGTATTTGCATTCTTCAGGATATCACCTCAGAATCAAAAGTAAGCGATTCTCTTATCACTTATCTTACATACCAAATTATTTTTCATAAGTAATTGAAGCGAATAGGTAATGAGAGAAATGGCGACAGGTCACTGGAACAACTTGCGACCCACGGATGCCCCTCAGGTTGAAGGGTAAAATCTACAAGTCAGTGATAAGGCCTGTCCTACTGTATGGGTCAGAATGTTAGGCTCTGAAAAAGACGGATGAAAAGCGATTGCATGTAGCAGAGATGAGAATGCTGAGATGGATGTGTGGTGTGACGAGAATGGATAAAGTGAGAAATGAGTATATTAGAGGAAGTTTCAAAGTGGCGCCAGTGACTGAAAAGTTGAAAGGGAACCGTTTGTCTTGGTATGGCCATGTGAAAAGGAGGGATGAAAAGCATGTAACAAAAAGAGTCATGAGTATAAATGTGGATGGATGGAGAGGGAGGGGGAGACCAAAGAAAATATGGATGGATTGTGTAAGAAGTGATGTGGAAGACAGAGGAGTTAGCGATAGCGTGACGAGTGACAAGACAGAATGGAAGAAAAAAACATATTGCGCCGACCCCAAATAAAACGGGACAAGGGCAGGAAGATGATGAAGTAATTGAAGCGAATAGGTAATGAGAGAAATCCCATTCAATTTATTTTTAATTGGTATTGGAGGAATAACATTTGCTTGTCGTGTCGTGTCGATTCGTGACGTATTACCAAATGCTTGCTGCGGATTGGGCTAGAGCGATGACCAGGACCCGATACGACTAGTAAATATATTTCCACCTTCAAATTTTAGCACACAACATATATCAATGTATAGGAAACTCAATATAATTAAAAGCTTACTTTTGATCCTGACTGTACATATATGTATATGTTTTTATTGATTATTTCCTTTGCTATGTACTCACAGACTCACTTCATACGCCATCCGAATTGAAAAAGGATTGTTAACACTACCTATATTTATAAAACGCATTTATGTTGTGTTTATATAAAGCACGATATTTACTTTAAAAAAAATTGTATCACTGTTGTATGATCCTTTGTGTATGCATATTATAACTTTAATTCCTTTTACAAAATTTCTTGGCTATACCATACAGTACCTGCTTTTGAGCCAAAATACTAAAATGCACGTTATCGCCTTTGTAATAAAGTATCACATATTATTTTAAAAGAATTCTTTTGCCAAATGTTCAACACATTAGCGTCTCATATGTAGTATGAATAAAATGTATCAATTCCATTGCTAAATGGGTTGTACAAAAATATGTAAAATCAGTTTTATATCACAACTCATCCTGACTAAGAAGTGTGTAGCTCGAAACTAGTCGTAAATCTTTGACAAGATGCATTTATGATAGCTACAACTATAGAATTGATTGTGGATCAACTGCACTGAAACTGTTTTTCGGTTGAATAAAAATAAAAACCTCTCCAAAACGGTCAATGGCCCGGATGATGAACAGTCCAAGTCTTAAGTCTTCTACCTAAAAAAATCTTAAATGAAATATAATTATAAATCTATACTACTTTTCAATCAACTAGTATCACTTAGCCGTGGCCCCCACTTCAGTTGTGAATCCATTTAAATCTACACGCTGAAATTATTACTCGACCGTATAATCTATTCCTGCATTAAATCAAAAATTTTGTTTCATTTTAATATTAAAGGAAACCAACTTAAAATTCTCACAAAGGGCACGTTAGAACGTCTAAAAGATGCCTTTTCATATGCAAAAGAACCGGATTTATCCGGTTACCGCCAGCTCTGGGTAACAACAAGTAACGGACTTGAGTGCCAAGCCGCCATTTTAGAATTTAAAAGTTTGAATTTTAAATTATTTTTTCGAACAATAGAATGGAAGGGTCGTTATTGCAATTGATATTTTATTTTCACATTTAAATAAATTTCATATTTTTATTATGTCTTGTATATATTTTGTTCTTTTTTTGAACGGTAACGTGTATAGTTAAATATTATACGCGAAGATATTTTTGTTTGTCTGTTACCCCTTTACGTTTTATCTATTAGACCACTAATCTTCTAGTGACTTGTGGCGTACCTACTTTATAAGTTTATTTAAACAATACGATAAAGGAAAACATTATGAAGAAACCTGAACTCGTAATTGCAAGTTTGTAAGCGCTAATACGACTTGAGCCAGCGTGTTGATAAAGAAGGTATATAAGGCAATACCTTCTCTGTATAGAAAGACTTCTCTGATAATGATGGTGGATCAATCTTCTTAGTTAGAGAAGAATATAGCTATGTCCTTCTTTAATATTTAAGACATAAAGATAATATAGAATGAATACCAATCAGAACAGCGTATTATCTATGAGTTATGAGTTCGACTCCTCGTTAATACAAGACCATTAATATAGGGACAATCGTAAATCAAACGTTATTGAGTGCGCTCAGTCTGGTGATCAATAGTATTGTCTTCATTAATAATTCTGTCGATGAAAATAATGCATTTTGAATGTGACTTTTAGTATTAAACTATTATGAATATTATCCTAGTAAAACTTCTCAATATCCTTTCCAATAATGATGTTGTGTGAATTTTTGTTATACATAAAACGGGCATTTGTTTTCAAACTTTTTCCAATACTAAGATATTCTGAAGAGAGAGGTTAGAGAAGGAAAAAGTAGAGGTTGATTGTTTAGTCAGTAAGAGTCTTGGCACTCTTCCTTTTCGCTTCATTCAGGTCGGAAGTTAGTAGTTGATGATATGATTTTGATAACAATATACTTTGCCTACTGTAAACTAGAAGTTGAAACCCTCTGTCGTGCCATTGGCTCCTTGGCCGAAAGCAAGCACAATGACGAATATATTTTCACAAACTGATCAGCCCTTAAGAATCTATCAATAGAAAACTTAAAAGTTTGTTGGAACGCACTCTCCTCCAGAACTGCTGGTCCAAATTAAACCATCCTTTTTATGTAGTGTATAAAGTCATTTTAATGAGTTAGTCTATGTGTAATAAAACATCGTGCAACAACCCTTAGAAGCTAAGCAGCGGGTAAAACTAGCAGCTAATATTCTCGTAAACCTCATAATTTAAGCTTAGCACACAATTTAAATTCAACTACAAAATGTAACAGTAAATTTCCCTTCATAAGAAGAGGAGCGTGTTCTTAGAAAATTGCTATCTGCATGTCGCTTAGTGAAAGTCGCCCACAGCGACCTCTGGTGCACGACTTGGTACTACTAAGTGAAGATTTAACAGAAGTACCACTACTTAGATACTAACGTCCTCATAATGGCTTGATGTTGAAATCAATAATCTATACTAATATTATAAAGAGGTAAAATTTGTAAGTTTGTATGTAGGGGGTAATTTTTGGAACCGCTGGTCGGATTGCCAAAATTCTTTCACTGATAGATAGCTACAATGTTCCTGAGTGTTATAGGCTATAAAACATCACGCTACGATTAAATGGAGACCAGCGGGTGAAACCGCGTGAGAGTAACTAGTAAATAATAAACCTAAACTACCCTAATCAAACTTTTCTATTGGTCAAAATAGTACGAAAATCTGTTCGGTAGTTTTCGAGTTGATGGCGTTCATACAGGTAGAAGAAAGCGAACGACTTCTTCTAGATTATCTAAGCACTTAATGGAAATTCACTGTCCGATAGTTTAGAATGTAGGTACGTTAAACTGTAGCCCTTGATTACCCTTTCCATTCCCATTCCCATTACCTACTGAACGAATCTGAAAATGACATAGTAATAGATTATTGTCTGGATTAACATCATCCATTATCTTCATCAGTCTGTAAATATTACCCTGCTGAGAAAAAAAGGTGTCTTCTCACACAAAAAACAAATGAGCATCAATCACCACACTTGTGTGGGACAAGTGTGGGAGAGCCATGCTTCAGCACGAATGGGTCGGCTCGACCGGAGTGATACCACGGCCTCACAGAAAACCGGCGTGAAACAACCACAGCGTTGTGTTTCGCCGTGTGAGTGAGGTTACCGGAGGCCCAATCCTTCCCCTTCCTGGACCACTCCCCAATCCCTAAATCTCCAAATCCCTAATCCCTAAAAGGTCGTCAACGCACTCGTAACTCCTCCGTTGCGGGTGTCCATGGGCGGCGTTGATTGCTTACCATCAGGTAATCCGTCTGCTCGTTTGCAGACTTATTACATAAAAAAAAAAATTGGCGATGGCGATTTGAAAATTAATTTAAATAATTCAGCTTTCTTCATAGCGTTTTCCTTTACCGTCATTATAAGTCTTTGAAAGCACATCTTGCTCGGAAGGAATCATATTGGTACTTGCCAAGATTGGAACCCACTCACTTGAGGATCAAGTGTCCTAGCCTCCAGGCTGCTATGAATTACATAGACTATTACTGTATCCTTGTTACGCAGGATAAGCTAGCAACTAATATATGTTTTACTGAACTAGTTTTCTGCGTATATATCTGTATTGTGAGCACATTATCTTAAGAAACGTTCGGATTGGATGTTCAGAGTTGAGATCTAAAATAGTGAAAGGCTGGTGCTTTTGAGATCATTCAAATTACTAGTTCTTAGTTCATAGTTTAGCTAAAGAACATAAACTTTAAGATGTTGAAACAAACTTGTTTATAGCAGTTTAAGAGGTCATTTTCTAAATGGGATTGATTCGTTGTTCGCTTGTTTTAAAAATAGGGGTTTATTTACCCCTTTGTTGTGGTGTTAATTGAGAAATAAATGAAATAGAACTTAATACAACTGATTATTCAGGTGATCGAACAATCCAATCAAAAAAGTCCAATATTAATTCTATTTTCATTTATGTTAACACAGCTTCGATCCAGTTGTATTAACATAATAGTTACCGTGACATCGC